GCTCGATCATATGTCCGAGGAACCATCTTCTAATTCTATACGTGGGGAAGCTACAGGTGCTTTAATTGTGATGAGATCATTTGACTTCATATTTATCATATTTTTTTATGCACAAGATTATCCTGATCACAAATTTGCTTTGTCAATCTTTGCAAGAGAAGTCTTTGAATATTTTAAATGCAATGGATTTTGTGTCAAGAGGCGTTGATACTATTCTTACGTACGTACAATTACTTGTGAAGAAAATGGTATTGAGATAACAAATATGAGTGCTTTTCATTGATTTTATAGAAGACGTTCTTACCAAAAAAAGTTTCCCATAATAGTTGAGCATCATTATCACTATATGTATTCAATGCGACGATAGATTTTCAGTTGAAAGAGCTTCATAGTAGATTTAATGATGGAGCTGTAGAACTTCTTCGGCTTAGCTCTGCATTGAAATCTCGAGATAACTGTAAGTTGTTCAATGGCAATGATTTTGTATTCTTGTTGAGAAATTTTATCCAAATGATTTTAATAGGCATTAACTACATTATTTAAGGAATCAATTAGAACATTATAAGTTTGATGTTGTCTAACATGAAAGGTTCCAAAATATTTCTACCATTTTTGATTTAAATCGAAGTAACCCAAGTGCTCTGATACCACTTGTTGGGACCGGTTAGGATCTTGAAAATATGCAAGTCACAGACTATATACGAATTAAACCCTAAGCGCAGCGGAACTAGAAGCGAGGGTTCAACGTGTACCGTTTAATATTTTGCCGACTCTGAGACGTTTCTGATTTTCGTTGTTGGAGGTCTGAGTCTCATGTCCGTTGGACATCACCGGTTGATCACCATTCACGTCGGTCTATCCTGAGCTTCGTTGCCCTGGTCAAACCTCCCGGGACTCTACTTGGACTCGTCCGGACCGAGATGGATACTCCTGGACCAGTTCTGAGTATTCTAGGCCAGTTTTGTGCACCTTGGTGTGTCACTGAGCCGCTGCCCGCTCGTTGGCCTCGCTGGACGTGAATGGTCCGTGATATACGCATTGGGCCACGGAGTATTGTGGGCTGAAGCAAGCTGATGGGCGCAGGCCGTATCGGGCTTCTCGCGGGCTGGGAATGGTCTGGAGATTTGGGCTCACATTGTGTTTGGATGCGCTGATCTTCGACTGTGCGGGCTGAGGATGTGAGGGGCGGGCCACGTGCGGGCTGGACGAGGTTCGCACGGCCCGCGCACTGTTTTTCCTGATGGACTGCTTCGCTCATTGGGCCTCTCTGTGTTGGGTCGCTGCTCTACTGGTCCTGGGCTATGCACGATGGGCAATATCCTGGCGGACTTTCTTGTCTCTTGGGCGTGGAAATGGGCAGGTGCACTGGGTCGTGACCCCAGCAGCTGTTGGTCGTGCATGTGTGCGTCGGCGCCTTGCCGAAGCTCACCTGCCCGGCCACCTTGCCGGATTGTTGTCGTAATTTGACCAGAGAGTCACCGGAAGACCACGATCTCCATGACATGGTTGCAGGACAATTCCAATACATCTAATTGCTATGTTTTTTGCTTTTCATGAAGAACATACAACCCCACGAATTACAGATAAATTACAGAGTTGAATATATATATTACGATGTTGGATAAATATATATAAATCGCTCGACAATCTCAGATCTTCTGTTGTATGACCCGACATCTTCTTTGATCATCTTGGTGGGCGATGAAATCAGAAATATCTCTACTGGGATTACTTGGAGAAGAAAAAGAGAAAACAAGAGAGAGAAAAGAGCATATAGGGGCGGGAGAGAATCTCCAAAATCGCATGTCTCACGTGAATGATTTAATCTCCGAATCCCAAGAGATGTGATGTATTTATAGGATACATTAAGAACCCTAAGAAGGTATTAAATTGGGCTTCTCTTATTTGGATTAGACTATAGGCCAAGCCAACCAAACCCAAATGGGAATAATGCATCCATTCCACTAATGTAGTATTATTGAATAAACCCCCAATTTAATTCCTTAATTATATTTAAGGCTCCAATAATAATTATTCAATTTATCTCCCCGTGTTTAAGATATAATGTCCATCAATTAATTTAATTACTAATAAATAAATTAATCGACATCTATAACCGAGACTAGTACCACTCATACCATTATTTTTATGCTGGAATAAATTCCACTGATAAGATTTAACATGATAATCCTTCATGAGCTCATCTCGGGGACATCATCAAACTATCGCACACGGTGACCATAAATATTCTAACAACACATCGTACATACAATAATATTACCCAAAACAGTAAGTGTATTGTTCCAGTAAACTGAATCTCACCCAAGTGAATTAAAGTAATAAATACTGCATGCACATGCTTGTTTATATCTTACGGGTTAAAAGTATGCAGTAATTAACCGAGGCCTAGTTCGTTCACAGCGATCAGTACAAAACAAAGTTCTCCTCTCTGGGATCCGTTCAATACACAAGGTGTACTAGTGTAACTAATCAGTCAAGACCAACTGCACGGTTAACACTACAACTGTTCGGATGGGTTGTTCATTTCCATCTAGGTTGTGAACTACAATTCTTGTTTCACAAGTAACTGATAGAATGATCTTTTGTTTGCCCGATAGCGACCCATTCTATCTAAGTGCAAAACAACAGAACATTGACTTGTTTAATTAAATATAATTCTCATTCAAACGGGTTCAGTGTAAATACATCTAAAACTAAGCTTTCGGTATATACACCAACAATAATTTAGTATTATAACAATATAATTCTGCCAAAACAAAAAGTGTAATCAATTTAAATTTCCCGTAAGATCCAGATTTATGTGTCAAATACCTATTAATTTAACATGGCAGTATCCTTATAAAACCCTTTATTTATATGAAATCAAACTATTTAATAATATAATACTATTAATCTGCCGAAAAACGATAAGAATACCAAATAATTTCATAATATAATAATATAACATAATAGTATAACATTCTCGATTTACCAAAAATTAATTATTGATTTTGATTTAGACCCAAATCTTTTCTGTTATCACTAATAATATTCTTCTCGTAATTATATAGGATGCACAATGTGAAATATGTCGTTAAAGCATAAGAATAATGCGTTTTTAGGATAAATAAGTCGAGTTTGATTGTTTCATTTCTCTAGAAGCAACATACGTGGAAAGTTTTTATTTATACATAAAAGCATTTGTAAAATTCAATTTGTGGATATGAAATGCGTGGACGATTTGTTAAAATCTATATACAATAAGAATAAGGTTAAATCATTACTAAAAAAATTACCCAAAATCTACGCTTTATGGTAACAACTTTTTTATATTCTATAAAAAATTAAACTTCATCCGACAAATCATATCGTTAGTTTATCACATACATATTTTCACTATAATTTTATTTTGTGGTGTTAACAATTCGAAAATCAACAAATAATTAGAGAAATGAGGTGTTTATGCAATTCGCAATTACCAAGTGGAGAGCATCTGGGTAAATATCGATCTACAGTTGTCAAGTGCAAAATAATTTTGCATGGAAAAACAATGAGGATTTTAATAATGTATGACTTTTTCATGATGAACATGATTATCTGACAAATGCTCTATGTATTATAACTTATTGATTAATAGTCTTTAACTATAAATTTTACCAAAACAACTACAGTCTGTGCATCGCACAGGGTCACGAAGAGATAACCTATTTATAAAAAAAAATAGCAAAATAATAGGTCAACATTTAATGCAGCCCATAAATAGCAGTTTTATTAATTTTCTTATTTTTTTTAAAAAATCATACAATTTAATTTATAAATACGCTTTAATATAGTCATACAATTTAATTAATAAAATTCATACAATTTAATTTTTTTCTTTGAAAATATGCTTTATTATTATTATTATTATTATTATTATTATTATTATTATTATTATTATTATTATTATTATTTATTATTATTATTATTATTATTATTATTATTATATATAGTACTTTTTGTAAAAAATTCAAATAAAATGTGTTACTGAAATATCTAAACAATTTAAAAATTACAATATTTAAACTACTTGATAAACAATTTATAGATCTCTATTTTTTTAAAATATTTAAAATGTAGCAAAATTTATTTAAAAAATCGTATCGATCCTACTTGTTCAACCGACTAGTGTTGATATATTCAATAGCAACTATTTTATTCAAGCGAATTAGACTGGTTGTAAATCGGTTCTCGGCCCATCTAGTCGGACTGTGTCAAACATGATTTAATTTAAAAACGATGTGTAAATCTTGATTGATTTATTTGTATATTTAATTTATAACACAATCGTAATATTGTTTATCGTGCATCGCACGAGCCACACACTAATTTATATAATAACTAAATCACAGTACCAGGCTTTCTATAAGTGTCTTCATTGAATGTTTTTTGCTATTGATTTCTTTTTTTTTAGTAGCCAACCACGGCATCCAGAGTTTTGCCGACTATCCGTTAGTGGACCCGCCCGGGTCGCACGCCTGACAATGGTACGTGTTTCTCTCGACTATTGATTTCTAAAATCTGTTCTATCATTTTGTGATACGTGATCAATCCAATATCTAATAGGTAAATTGATTTCGAAAGTGGACAAATTTTATGTGCATTACCATTAATGTGTTATGTGCCTAAACATTAAACAATGTAAGAAAAGGGAACAATATATAGAGTCAAATAATTACTAGTTTGACCACCTTATTGAAAACACACTTTTACATCCCAATTACAGAAAAACCCCACTTTTCTTAACTCGGGTAATTTGTTGACTAACACTTAACAAAGTCTTGAGAGACAGTAAAGTTATTATTAGCTAATAAGGGAAGAAAAACTCCCATAGGTGTTATAACAACAATCACCATCATTAAACCTTAAACTGAGAATCTTCTTTTGTTTATACTAGAAACTATAGAAGCTATAGGTACCATCCTATAATAGAAGTTGTACTGATAACAGTTCATGAGTAGTTAGTTAGTTGTGCCAAAATTATTATGCTGGAAATCACCGTTTTCGTTGTTGATGCTCGCTAGCAAATCGCCAAAATCCCACAATCCATCGATATCCCATGTAATAATATCCTCAGCCAGAGTTGCGCAATTATCGATCACCTCATTTGCGTTTGGAAACTCGGTTTGTTGGGTAGTCGGGTGATTGTTGTTGCCCTCGTTGGCCCATGACGACGTGAAATTTCCCATGTTGCATTGTCCTTTTTCGTGCATTTGTTGCTGTTGCAGCTGAAATTGCTGCCTTTTGAGCAGCCTCGCCTTGACCTTCTCAGGGTTGTCCGAGGGCGATTTGGTCTTTTTCTTGAAATGAGTCCTCCAGTAGTTCTTGATCTCGTTGTCTGTTCTTCCTTTCAGGCATTTTGCAATTTGCGACCATCTGTGGGCCGAAATAAATAAATACATAAATAAATTATAAATCGTCATTATATAATATTTTGGTTTTTCAAAATTGTCCGTGCAGATTATTTGATTTATATGTAACAATGCATGTTTTTCATGTACCGGTTGCCCCATTTAGCATGCAGCTCGACGATTATTTTCTCTTCACTCGGTGTAATTTGGCCCTTCTTGAGGTCTGGCCTCAAGTAGTTAACCCATCTCAATCTACAGCTTTTACCATTCCTTTTCAGCCCTGTCATCAGTGGCAACCAAAGAAATTAATCACAAAGTAATCCTTTTCTTTTTTCTTTTTCCTCCTCTAATTAAAAAGGAAATGCTACCGTCTCGTTACAGAATCATTCCGTCAAGATTTATAATCGTTAGATCATCATGTAAACCGTCGTAGATAGTTGAAATATCAATGGTTTAATGGAAAAAAAAAAAGAAAGTACCTGCAAACCGGGCGACGTTATTCCATCTTCCTTCACCGTAGACATTGACATATTGGATAAGCAGTTTGTCTTCTTCGGCGGTCCATGGGCCCTTTCTCCAGCCATCCTCGGAGGTCGCCGCCGTGGGCCCCCAATAACAATAATCCCCCATGCCCATCATGCTTTCACTACCCTTTTAGGTTTTGTGTGCAACAACGTTGTTGGAAGCAAATCCTATTCACTTTGTCCTAAGAATGAATGCCCTCTCGCATATCTCTGATTGATTAATTGGCTATTTATATTGGCCTCCACTCAAGTGAGTCCTTTCCATCATCAGTCGAGATAAATCGTCCACTCACATTATTTATACTGTAATTACTAATTTAGCCCTAGATTCTGTTTTGATGTGACTATGTTATGTTTGGTAAAACTAGTATATAGCTTATCCGTAATTTTTGAGCTTATAATTTATAACTTATGACTTATAGCTGAAAAGTTAGTTTATGTGACAAAAATATTTGGTAAAATTAGCTGATAAGCTAGCTGAAATACAAATTTCAAAGAGCATATTTGAAAAGTTACCTAAAGAAACTTATCAAATAAGTTCGAATTTTTTGAAAAAGCTCGTCTTACCAAACGGGCTTAAATTTTGAATACAAGAAGCTTATAGGGTAATCAAATAAACTATAAACTAACTTATTCGTCTACTAAATTATTTTTTTTAGAGATACTTCATTCAAGGGCAATTGAGGAACAAAATATTTTGTCAAGTTGCCATGGTGACATGGTACTGATGATGTTGCAGTACAGTCAATTTGACGATTACATATATTTTATGTTAAATGAAAGATTTCATTTGTTTAATAATGTTAAAATATAAGCCAATTAATTTGAAGTTTTTTCAAGTACAAAAAGGCCACGTAGAGCCTAGAGCACAATAGGTAGCCACAAAGGACAAAGAAAATATATAGATAAACTTAAAGCCACTTATCTTGTTTCCCCAATTTCATTTTTTTTTTTTTTTTTTTTTTTTT